AAATGAAATGAAGAGACATCCTACAATCCTAATTTGAAGATACCGGTTAGAATAACATCACGCTTTAGTAAAACAAACTATGATCAAAATACCCCCACGCGAATTTATAATCCCAACAAGATTAGAAATACACATGCAAATTTAATTGCTATCAAGCCCACCAGAAATGGTCCTCCTACGCAAAAGATCATACCTAAATGCATGGTTATAAATGCACGTTCTCTTGCCAAACCTCAGGCAGTTTCTGCGTTGGATGTTGAGCTCTCTACATGGGAAATTGACATCTGCTTCGTGTGCGAGACATGGTTGAACAGTAAGATATTATCAAATTTAGTATGTCCCAATAACTATCTTATTGTAAGAAAAGATCGCGGCGATGGTCGAAATGGAGGAGGTGTTGCTATAATTTGTCGGGAAGATTGGAAATGTAAATCTCTAAACTTTCAAAATAATTTGGAATGCATCTGGTGTGACATTGAGACAGCAAATAGCAAATACTATGTCGCCTCTGTGTATCACCCTCCGGACCCCACATATCAGGAAAGCGAATTACTAAATCATTTATCAGAGAGTATAGAGCAAATTCTTCAGTGGGAATCAAATGCCAGAATTATAATTGGAGGAGATGTTAATCAACTGAAGGTTAAGGATATTATAAGTCAACATAATATGGAACAAATGGTGAGAAAACCTACAAGAGGTCAAAAAGTACTTGACATTTTCCTAACTAATTGTCCACACTTATGGAATCACCCTAGAGTCTTTGATGGCTTAGTAAAATCTGACCATTTGGCTGTCGTAAAATCTGACCATTTGGATGCAAGAGACCATCGGAAGTTTGCTATGGTGAGAGAGTTGGAAGCACAAGACTGGAGCTGTATTGATGACTGTGAAGACGTGAACGAATCAGCTATGTTATTAAATCATATTATCACTTCTGCATTCAACAACAGTTTTCCATTGATTAAGATAAAATTATCCACACGAGATCCCCCATACATGTCCCCTTTGGTAAAACACCTATGTAAAATACGCAATAAAAGTGTGAGGAAAGGAGTTAACGAAGATCTACAAAGAAAGATAAATAAGCTTATCCGAGAAAATATGGTTAGTGAAGTTAAGAAGGAGAATGGGAAATATGCATCTGGATCGAAGAAATGGTGGGACACAGTTAATAAAATCACCGGTAGGAAGGCAAATCATACCAGTATAAATATTGATCCAAGTGTTATAAATAGTTATTTCCAGACAATAAACACTGATGATAATTATACATATCCTGAACTCGTTCCTATACCCAATGAGACTAGAGTACCAAATGTTGATATACCCACTGTAGAAAGGTTTTTGGAAAAACAAAAGAAAACATCAACAGGTCCTGATGGCCTACCCTATTGGGTATGGAAAGACTTTGCAAAATATTTAGCCCCAGTGATAACAAAGATATTTAACATGTCATTGGAACAGCAACGCGTTCCCCTCCTATGGAAATTAGCCAATCTTAATCCAATACCTAAGGAAAGCCCCCTTATAGAATGTACACAATTAAGGCCTATATCTCTTACGAACGTAATAATGAGATTGTTCGAAAGAATAGTGTTTAAAAAAGAGATCTCATCAGAACTAAAACAATTAATAAAATCTGACCAATTCGCATATAAAGAAGGTACCAGCGCAACTGATGCTCTTATTATGTGTCACCATAAATGGCTAAATTGGCTGGATGGTGATGTTGATCATGTCAGGGTGATTTCATTCGATCTCAAGAAAGCCTTTGATTCCGTTTCTCACAACATCATTTGTAAGAAGCTAGGAAAAACCAACATTAATCCATATGTAATAAATTGGATTAGAAATTTTTTGACTGATAGGAGACAAAGAGTAATAGTAAACGGAATAGAAACAAATTATGTAGACATAAACAAAGGAGTACCGCAAGGCACAGTTCTTGGACCATTTCTATTTTCCTTAATGATAAATGATCTAACAGTCAAAGATCCAAATAACAACATACTAGTCAAATTTGCAGATGATATGACTGTTAGTGCTCCAGTGAAAAATAATTATGACTCCGCACTAACTGAGGTAGACAATATTGAAAAATGGACGGAAACAAACAGAATGTCATTAAATCTAGATAAAACATGGGAAATGGTTGTAAGTGGCAAATCAACAAATCCTTTACCAGAACCAATAACGGGTATCGAACGCAAGACTTGGCTGAAACTATTGGGAACTACACTGCAGAATGATCCAAATTGTTGGGACCTTCAAGTTAATAATTTGATATCTAAAGCTAGCAGTCGAATGCACATTTTGAGAATATGCAGATCGTATGGTTACTCTAAAAAAAAATTAACAATTCTCTTCGACGCACTTATTATGTCTTTATTTTCTTATGGAATCGAAGTATGGGGTTCAGCACTTGAAAAGAAGTACCTGGAACGGATTGATAAATTCCTTAGGCGAGCATACAGATATGGATACACAACAAAAAGTGTTCAGATAATTGATGTGATTAAAGAAAGAGACATGAGTTTATTTGAAAAAATATGTAGCAACCCAGACCACCCTTTATATGAACTACTTCCTCCTAAAAGACAAAGACCGTTAAGAGAACGCGAACACGATTTCATATTACCTAAGGTTAAAACAGAAAGATTCAAACGGTCGTTTTTAAATAGGTGTCTTTTTAATAATTTTAGCTAAAATAATTAACTTAGATACATAATAATAACTTAGTCTTAGTCTTTTTAATAATTCTACCTAAGAATAATTAACTTAGATACATAATAATAATCAAGTTTATTTTTTTTTTTTCTTGTATATGAGAATTTTAAATGTAAAGTCACACGTCTGTTGTGGCTATGTTTAATAAAGACTTAATAATAATAATAATATACTATTTATATAATATGACATGCCTTGAATGTTTAAATGCCACCTCAATTGTTGACGACAGGTGTGCTGAACTCACTAACTCGTATCCATATCTAAGTGATGCTGCCCTATTAGTAATTCACAGCACCTTTCTAACTTAGATATTGATGTTGAGATACCCTCAGATAGTAATTTCAAATATTATAGCACTCATGACTTCCATAGTGATTATGATATTAGTGAGTGTTTTAATAATAATTTATGCTTTTCAGCATTGCATTGCAATATTAGAAGCTTGTCTGCAAATATTGATAACCTGTTTAATATGATATCTGAACTGTATTATTCATTTTCACTTATTGGACTTACTGAAACACAGCTCAAAGTAGATCAGCCTCACATATCAAATATTGATATATTGGGTTATCAATTTATTTCACAACCTAGTCACTCAGTGGCTGGTGGTGTTAGTTTTATGTCAAAAATAGTTTATCCTATAAGGTAAGAACTGATTTGACAACATCAAAAGATGAATTTGAAGCACTTTGGATAGAAATACAAAATAAGAGAAAAGCAAACATAATATGCGGAGTAGTCTATAGGCACCCAAGAGATGACTTGGATACTTTTATTGAATACTTGAATTCTGGAATTGAAAAGATAAACCAAGAAAATAAAATGTGTGTCATTATGGGGGATTTTAATGTGGAACTACTTAAAGTGGATTCACATCAGAATTCTGATAAAATACTATGGGCTCATACTTCTTTCAACCCCATATATTGCAACCAACTAGGATAACTGATCATTCAGCCACATTAATTGATAATATTTTTTTGAATACTCTTGAACATTTTGTAATTAGTGGCAACATAGTATATGATCTTACTATCATTTACAAAATTTCCTAATTTTTGATAAATTTACTTGTCTTCCCACTAATATAAAACTATATAAGAGAGATTACTCCAAATTGAATTATTCAGATCTAATTAGTGATGTTCAAAATATCAACTGGGATGAAGTTTTTGTCTCAGAACTTGACCCATCTTCAATGTTCCTCTCATTTTATGGCCGAATCTCGGTTATAATAGATAAGCATATACCAGCAAAGCTAATAACTCAAGCTAAATTCTAAACCATGGATTACGTCTTCACTAAAACGGTCAATCCAAATAAAAAACAAATGGCATAAAAAAATTCTTAAAACTAAATCAATTTATTATTACAATAAATTTGAATATATTTAATCAACAACAAAATACCAGTTTTGGTATATTAAGATACATACATAAAAAATCTACCACTACATTTTACATACAAAAAATATAACAATTTTACTAATAACCTAATTTAAGCTTTCAAAAACTGTTAAAATGTCGTAACAGTATTTGGCAACCAAGTTCATAATTGTCTTGAATAGCCATAATATACCTAAAAATATCTTGTTCAGTGAACAAACTGAAAGAACGATTTCTTTTACACAAATTATTTATAAAAATATTTCTAAGACTAATACATTTAGAATTTCTGCATGACATTAGAAAGTGGTATTCATTTCCGATCTCATTTATGTCAAAATGTTTACATAGCCTATCATTGTATGGAACATTGTTATATCGACCAGTTTCAACAGGTAATCTATGTGCTGAGATCCTTAGTATTGTAACAGCTTGACGATATTTGAAATTCTGGACTAAGATACCTTTCACAACCGAAATTTATTTTCAGGTTTTTGTAAGCTCTTAGTTTACCATTATTTCCCCTTGTTGAATCGCGGGCATGATATTTGAGCACATGTTTATCGGGTTGCCTAGCAACAGATACGAAAATAGAACGCGAAATTCAAGCTTTTCAACGGTGTATCATGCAAGAAAATCGGTCAGAAACTCGCAAAGTTTTTCAAGTTTAAAACCTTAGTTTTTGAAAAATGAATAATGGCGATATTGTTGCAAAGAAGGATTTCACGGCAAGTTTTAAAAGCGAAAAAAGAAGAGGTTTTGAAATGATCTACAACGAAAATTTGGTGTGAAAGGAAAGTGAATGTATTGACGTTTTGGGCCAAGTTCTTCTGTGAACCATGTGCAAGATTTTCAGCCAAAAAGATGAGGATTTCTCCAAACTTTATTAAAAATAGAAGTTGGAAATCACAAGAAAGATGAACAAGGAACTAAAGTGAGCAGATACGATTTTTTAAAGGGTATTTTTGAGTAGAAATATGCGATCAAACACTCACAAAATTCGACCGCATTAATGTTGGTTGAATCTAGTTTAAAGTTATCTTTTTAAACAAACTGTTTTCGTGACCCCATTGTTGGTCTTCTTGTTCAAGTTGTTATTTTAGCTAAAGTATGTTTCAAATGACACCAGGTTAAACTTACTGTGTGCGTACATGACCTTTTTGGCAAGAATACTTCGAGTATTAAATTACACTAAATAAGTAGGATATTCCAAAGTCACTGTTATATCTATTTTCGTCAATTTAGTCTTAAAATGACAACTCGTTTCAGACATATTGTGGTTTTAAACTAGAAGTTATTATTGCAAGGAAAGTGCTGCCTCATCCCCCAATGGATCAAAGCCAGCACGTTCAATTTGCTGAAAAAGGGGCTGTTTATATGATCCTGCTTTGCCACAAATTGCCAGGACGAGATATGAGGCAGGGCAGTTTCGATGTATTGAAATAAGTCCTGGTCGACAACAATTCAGTTCTATTAACCAGCATTTGAACTTTCATTTAGCCTAGTGACTTATTTCAATACTCAAAATCATCCCACCTTCCATCATGTAAACAGCCCCTAAGACCTGTTCATGGGGTAGGAAAAGTGCATTTTGAATACCAAACACCTTGCACAATGTCGAAGGTCAGCTAAATATTCTAATTCTACTTTGTTGGCATGGGTAATTTTATATGAATACCTTCAATGCTTATAACTTCTTGCTTTTGTGTATATAATTATAATAGCCATAGCAACATGGGTCATGCTATGCAAGTTTTTAATTATTTGCATTGTAGGTTTGTTAGCATAGCATGACATGATGACCAGTTGCCATGGCTAGCTTGCCACTGAATACTGTACAATATCATATATATAAAGAATTATAATACTTGAATGAACCATTGGACATGTAGAATTTAATAACAATTTCACATATAGAAATAAGTCAGTTTTTGTCCCAATTATCATTTTAATGACACCTTCAAGGCTATGTTCACAGAACAACTGAACAATCTGCTGATGGGGAGATTGTTGTTGACATTTGTGTTTAATACGTCTGCTTCAGATGACACCGTTCATTTGTAATCACTAAGATTGTACTCACTACTCAGTCAGAACTGCAAAACTATATAATAAGAAAGAAATTGTGAGCATTATCGAAAAATATAGCATACCATAGTGGCACATGCACAGAACCAGGTGGAGGAATACATGAATGTAGGCCTGTAGCCGGTAGGATTATTTCATATTTATGCTAACAATGGACATATATCAGAGATATATTTTTACAGACCACCATACTTCGTACAAAAATCGGTTTACATGTTTATATATTAATACATGTAGGCTAACTGCTGGTAAATTTATATATGCCAACAACAATCCACACTCACTCACTCAGTGTCACTGGGTTATTAACTGCATGGGTTGCTATAGGAAATATCTTTACATTATAAAGCATACACAACATTCAGTGTTTGTTTTTCAAACGTTCTGAAAGCAAATTGCTATGTCTAGGAACATCTAGAATGAACACTATAAACTCATCGCCACACAAACAAATCAAAAGTACATTTGGACTCCTAAATATAAAGACGATCTATTGTTTCAAATACCTCATATCGAACGCTAAACAGCAGATCTAAATATAAATACCGTCATGTAATATCACCAGAAAGAAATAAAGCTATCTTTATGAGTGCAATACAAAATAAATTTTGACCGCCCCCCTCGTTTAAAAAAACTTCCTGAAGCCTTAATTATTTCCCCGGAATTTATAGACAGACAGACAGAAAGACACAAATCGAAATCTCGATCGACTATACATAACTCGGCCAAAGAGACTGGTCACAAGTAAACACAGACACGTAATACTTCATGTTAAGAATAGTGTGCTGCCTTTGGCAGCAATAAGTGTATCGAATAAACGTGCTTGCTTGCCGCGTGCAAATTATCAAAAATTCCGCACTTGAGTTGTAAAGCTTTCAAAATCTTTTTTACTGGTTTTTATATCCCCTATAAAACTTTAAATCGATATTTAAAACTTTAAATTTCTAGTAACTACACGTTGAATCAGAATACGTTATCAAAATAGGTCGCGATGGTTGTTTGCAAAATGTCGCTTCTCTCTGAAATGGCTTCCTTTGCGGGAAGCCATGAAATTGAAGTCCTAACAAAAACTAACTTAGCAGTTCTTT